TTTTTATGGTCATGTGTTTTTTATTTCTGCTGAATAGATATCTAGGAGTGGAATGGCTGGATCACTTGGTAGCTTTTCAGAAAAACTGCCTTTCTGCAGTATGTTAAATCTTTCCTCTGCTTGAACACGTGGAGTACTATTGTGATAAGTGTTTTAATGTTTTCTAATGTTTATGTCAGATCTAGGTCTGTTTCAATTTTTTTTTTTTTTTTTTTTAATAATCGTGGGTCTTTTTTTCCCTGCTTTTTGCATGCTTGATAATTTTTGAGTGCCAGTCATTGTGAATTTCACCTTGTTGAGTGCTGGATATTTTCGTATTTCTATATTCTTGAGGTTTGTTCTGGGATGTGGTTAAGTTAGTTGGAAATAGTTTGATCTGTAAATGTCTTTTCACGTTTGTTAGAAGGAATCAAAGCACCGTTTAGGACTGATTATTCCCCACTACTGAGGCAGAATCCTTAGGAGCACTCTACCCAATGAATTACGAGGATTTCCAGTGCGATTGGTGGGAACAGGCACAGTTCTCAGCCCTGTGTGAATACTGAATGTGGTTCTCCAGTCCTTTTGGATGGCTTTTCCCCATCCTTAGTAGTTACTTCACACACATGTGCTGATCACTACTTTGCTGAATATTCCAACACAACTCGCTGAAAATCCCTGAGCATTCTTTTTGTACAGCTCTCATTTTCTGGTATTCTGCCCTGTGAACTCTAATTGACTTGACCTCCCTGGACCCTCTGTGTCCTCAGTCAGGGAGTTCATCTCCTCAACTTTTGGGATCTGCCAGACTCTACCTAGGTTCCATCTCCCTGTGCTGTGGGTTGGTCTCTTTCTCAAGGTGTAGTAAGCTGGGGCAGTTGTAGGGCCCATCTCATTTTTGCCATTTCTGTGGATCTCTCTCTTTCATTGCTTGATATCCAGTATCTTAAACAGCCATTCCATTTTGTCCATAAAAAAAATTTACATCAAATGAGAGGGTACATCCGGTTTCTGTTACTCCATCTTGTCTGGAAGTGAAAGTTCAGATAGCCTTCTCAAAGGGAGACTGACATTTCTGATTTCATAATTTCCTTTCTTAACAAGAGAACTACATTCTTCATTTTCTGTTGCATTGAGATTTTATGTGGCCCTAGGCCTGTTATATTTCAGTTCTGTGGAACAAAATTGTTTTAAGAAGGAAACTAGAAAACATATATAAAGCACCTGTAACAGTGTCTGGCATTTGTCAGGTCTTGCTGAAGTAGTTTTCCTTTCCATTTTAGTTTTTATAAATCGCAGTCTCATATGGAACATTCATTTAGTTTTGTGTTTAATTTTGAACAATTTAAAAGCCATCCTTGTTCTCATAGTTTTATATTCTCCTGTACATTTTATTGCATAAGTGTAAAAGTATGGAAAGTTTCTTACTGATAATTCAATGCAATGAAAATGTAATACAAAATTTTATAATGTTTACTTTTAACTCACCAACACTTCACATTGTTTTGAGGAAGTTACAGGTATGAATTTATTTATTATTTTACAAACATTATTATAAAGATTTACATGGTTGCTTTTTTTTTGTCAGTAAATGAAAGTGTAGCCATTAAGAACTTCCTCTTACTGGGCATTTGTTAACCACTTACCGTGTGCCTAGTCCTGGATTATTGTTTCAAATTTTGCTATGAACTTTACCTACCCATCTTAAGTCTTGTAATCTGTTATGCTCTTTACCTTTACTTACACCTAGTCATGCTACTTCCCTTTTACTGCTGATGTATGCAACTTTTACTTTATTACTTCCTTTTTGTTTTTAATTTCTTGAGCAGTTTTTTCATAGGTGTGCTCTTTTATTACATTATGTAGATTGTAAAATTATCTGTGGAAGAGATAAGTTTGTTTTCTAATTTTATAACCCTGAAGAACTTGCTACTGTGGTTATCAAGTAGGCATTCAACAAATGCTTAATGGTGAGTGAAATGATTGTTTCATAATATACACAATTTTAATGCAAATTAATTGTAATTGTTGCTGTATTACCAAGAGGTACCATAATATGTGCCTTACATTTTAAAAATTATTGAAATTAAGTGCCATTTCTTCAGTAACTGATTAAAAATAAGCGATTTGAATTACAGGTTTTCCATGGTGATATTATGTGTATTTTTACAGCTGATTAATGGCAGTTGATTTCACTGTGTGTGACTATTTATGTTCAAATACAATTTAAATACTTTCGATTTTGGGGGTGATTGCTTTGTCCTGTAAGGGACAGTAAGAGTTTTTGAGATATTACTTAGGCTTCTTATTCATCTTGGTGCGTCATAGCTGAAAAATGGTAAGGGCTCATACTTCTCCCCAACCTTCAAGTTCCAAAATATTTTTCCTTTGTTATGGCCTTAAATAGGAGGATATATACCTCGATAGAACGGAAATAACTTTCAAGTCAGAAAGTTACAATATCTATAGAATTTTGCTGTTATAAACTCGTGTTAAGATTTGTTTTTAATTCCTTTGCAAGTCACGGCGTATGATTTTTAATAGCGTGGTTCCTTTGTTAACTCTCAGGTCAGATACA